AAAGGAGAAAAAAAAAAAAAAAAAAAAAAAAAAAAAAGGAAAAAAGAGACGAAAAAAAAAAAAAAAAAAAAAAAAGCAGAAACTATAAAAAAAAAAAAAACAGAAAACATAAAAAATCAATATCACAAAAAAAAAATACAATATACGACATGTAGTAAGAAAAATACAAGGTCGTGAAAAAGATCAAAGTGAACAGTATCACGGCTAAGTTAAAAACTTGCTTAGAGTTTGGGTTATAGAGTTAGAACGAGAAAAACATATTAGATATCTAATTTTTTTTTTGATCAACAATCTGCCAATCGCGATTATCGTTTCATCCGGCCAATAAGAATTTTCTTTTGATCACGTGATTCTGCACCGCTTTAGCCGTCTCCCCATTTTATAATTTTCATACATAGCATGCATATTACTATATATAGTTAACTCTGCAAATATAGGAATAAACGTGTGATGAAAACGTCGCTTGATCAGAACAACGAATTAAACCCCTTGGTGATAAAGGCCTTGGGAGCACTATTTGATGACTAAGTAAGAATTATCACTTAGCATCAAAATCCCCTATTACACTTCGGAAAAATGCCCTCCTGAATTCATTAGGTAATGGATGAACAAAAAGCATTTAAATGTTATAAAAAACGCTGGCGCCCTTTAGACACAATCACTAGTGCCAAAAAGAAATTAGTATAACAAGACGTCAAGCCAAGAAAAGGCCTAATGTATACAATGGAATGAAAAGTGAATTAGTGGTTAGAAGCGAAGGGATACAAATTAAAAGCGGGTGGAAGAAAACCCGATGAATAGGATAGTTTAACTAATTTATGCAAATGAAAAATGTATTTAAAGACTCCATCTTTGCTTCAATAAAGACATTGTTCAATTCCTGACTTATTAATAAAATCTAATACCTGTGTCTTTATACACAAGTTCCCTTTTATTTACCTTGTTAAGAATTTCAACGATCGAGACCACGTGATTGACATGAAGAGATTTCACGATCACGTATTTTTGTTGTTAAACTTACTTGAACGACTTTTTGTATCTTCACATACATTTAGCCGTTGCCTCTTTCGAAACCCAAATTACCACCCAAAGCCTCTTAGAATTCATGTCTTAAGATAAAGCACGTGAGGCATTTATAAGTTATTTTTCATTGATTTAAAGGTTGAACATCAAGCGTTCATTTATTATCAATCCCGGTTACATTGAGCCGATTAAGAGGTGGTTTGAGTGTAACAGTACCTTAATATTACAGCTGTTTTCATTATTTTTGGAACATTTAAGATGTTCGGTTAACTTACCCGGTTACTTAAAAGTTAATATAATACATATATGAGCGACGCCAAGGAAAAATGGGGCTTCAATCATATAAAACTTAAATAATTGTCTCTTGGTGTCATTCATATGATTTATATCAGATATATTAATCATGTAACAAGATGAGTAGAAAAAAATGCAACTGTGTTTACTTAATATGCTAACAAATGTGAAGATTTCTTGCTTCACCGATAATCATTCCACAGATAGCCCATTTAGCTGATATCATATGGGGTTTCGCTCGACGTGATGTCGACTAAAATGTAGTCATATAAAGGCAAAATGCTTTGTATACGTATAGAAATTTATATCTGGTTTTTATAATTTAATAAATAAGTTAAAAATCTAGGTAAATAAAATCGTTATAAAAAATTACATGACAGCACAATTTTTATAAAGGTTAATATCCGGATATAACCGTTACTCTCTTCGATAGGGTATAAAACTAGTATAAAACCGGTTATTAGATTAGGTCACAACCTTTCGGGTAAAAAGTTGACCGCTATACAAGTAAATATTATCAATAAATATATTGGTCGATTAAGTTTCGTTTATTAAATAAATTTCACACATCTTAAACATGCCCATAACATCGTCTATCTTAAAACAATCGAACCATTTTCTAACATCCCTATGTAAAATATATGATTTCAATCCGGATATTCAATTAAATATCTGGACCAAAGCACTTCATGCAATCCGCTGTAAAAAAAAGTTTAGTTACACTCGCACCCAATTAGACGAATCTTTCGGCCATATGTAAAATTCAATTGAATCTGAAAGATCCAATGTACTTTCTGTCCGCATGATGTGCTTATCCAAATCAGGAATATCAGGCTGAAAGTCGCGAACTACCTTGAGCTGGATATAAGACGGACCTTGCCAAAAATTGAAAATAAATGAAGATATTAATGAATAAGTAAAATAATGTGTAATTCAACATAAAATATCTACCTGTCCAAGCGCTTTGAGAAATATCGATTTGAGTTTTTAACTGATAGCTATTCGGTTGTGTCAATACCAAATCAGCTGGTGAAGGTCGAAAATGTTGAATAGATTGATCCGGCAAGGTTATCTACATTATATAAAATATGATATTAATAAAACCTTTTTTTTCTATATATAATTTTAAGGTTTAATGCACCGAGAATAATCGCAAACCTGAACAGCTAAAGTGTTTGTATCATCCACGTTGTTCACTTCCGCTTCAACATTAATTGTGAGAGGAAACTGGGATTGAAAGTCTATCGGAGGCGCTGGATTGGGATTAGAAACTGGTCGTATTATCGTAGCTTCGGAACATTTAACTGCATTATTGAGGCCAATTTCTAAAATATTGAAATCCTAAATAGTAATATTGTTTAATTTGATATGATAAATATTTTAATTCATTTATTTTTTATCTTATATGAAAATTATACTACCAAGATATAATCAAATAAAGATGTTATGTTAGTGATTGTAGGCTCCATCGTGACCTGAGTGAGTTTTTTTTGAATACGACACGTTTCATCTATCAGAAATTCGTGTCCCTCGAATTGTCTAAATAATTAAAGAATAATAATTAAGTATTTAAAGACATTAGTGTAGAAACGAAATTAAATGGCTGCCACCTTTGCACTTCTGCCACACGTTTGTTAAAGGAATTCAGGAGTATCTGTTGGTTCATAGATGCCACTTGGCCATGAGTCGAAAATCTAAAGATAGCATTAGTAACACAGCCAAATATATATATATATATATTACATAGATTACATACTTATCAGAGTTTTTTGCCAAATGACTTAAAAACCAAACTACATGGGCGAATATTCTTATATGAACCAAAAATTGTCTGGCAGAACTCTCAAGTCCCAGAAAGCCATATTCCATAACATAAGAAAGCGTTAACAAGTTTATTGCAGTATCTGTCTCTGAATTTATAGAATTCACTCCCATATAACTTTGTTTAATCTGAAAAAATAAAAGTAATAAGCACTTCATAAAAATAACATCAACAATTTTAAGGAATATAACATACTTTGATCAAGGCCTTTATACATTCTAAATATTTTAGGAAGAATTTAGCATTGCCAGAAAACATGGGTACATGCGATATATATTTCAAGTTACTAGAATATTAATAAACTAATTAATATATACCATTCTTCATAAGCTGAGACGATCTTACACAACTACTCGTTAGTATACCTTTTACAACATTTAATGCTACGCAATGCTGCCTTAAAATCTCTAACCCTGAATAAATGTTCCAATTCAAGAACAGCTTTTATTGTATTTTCCATAAATAATTGTATGTGATCTAAAAACATTGGGTTATTAGATAACAGTAATATGCATTTATATTCGAAATGATTATAACACTCACCATCATTGTTCGCAGATTGAGCACTTTGTTTGGGTGTCTCTCCAGGAAACTATTTATTAGAGATAGAACGTTAGGTTTCATATGAAAATTATGAACAATAAAGTTATGTACCTTAACATCTGGAAAACATTGTGGAAATTTGATGCGAAGGTATTCATAATGCCGACTGGTGTATGCAGGCAGCATAGACAATATCTTGGGATTTGAAATTGACGCATTGAATGCCAGAATCAAATGCCCAACATCTACAAGTAGTATAAGAGTTAATTAAAACCCGAGTATTTGATAGTCACGAAGACTTTCCAATAAAATTCACCGTCAGCATACGTTCAGGAGCATTTTGGTTGATTTCTTTGGAGATATAACTTGATTCCATTTTGAAGAATTTTGGGACAAAACGCTCTATATGGAAAAAATAAGTTCTTTATCATAATATTAATAAAAAAAGTCACGAAGAAGATAACATACCAATATAATCGCCATGTGTAGATCCAATACGTCCAAAGCATTGATAAATTGACAATTGATCTTCTGGATATCTAGCCATACTAGCTAACAATGATTTAATAAAAATAGGTATTAAATCAGGTGATTTTAGCTTCACAACTCTGAAAATAAGATCATAAGTTAATTACGAATGTGACAAATTTTGATCCATAATTGATTTAAAAGATATATTATTCACCCTAACATTCCATGTGTCGATTCCCGAACCATAGGATCTCCATCGTTGAGCACACTAAGTGTAATTTGCAATAACTCGGAATCCAACTCAATGGGATATTGTGTGCCTATCTTGTGGAGACTTTTGATGGAATTCAATCGCACGAAATCAATTTCATCCTGAAACATATCTAGTACCGAAATCAATGTCGAGGAGTAATTTTAAGTAAGATGAAAGTTAAGCATAAATATTACTAAAAATAGTTACCCACAAGAAATTCAACTGATCGTTTCGAAAATTTTTCATTATGCATACATAGCTGACATATCGAATCTGCATTAAAAAACTAATTAGAAAGTTATATTTAAACGTTCTCTAAAATTAAAATAAATAAATAATTACCAATCGCCGCTTTACGAACATCCTGATATGCATCCTCTAAACCATGAATAAATGCACCACAAGCACTGGATTTCAAAATACGCAATTCTGCTGATTCTACATCTAAATCACCTTCAGGAGTTGGAATAAACCTAGGCTATCATTATATATATGTTACATTTTATTTCGGTAATGATTGATCTAATGATGCTAACAACTGTATATACTTTTTTGCTTTTACCGTGGCCAGTAATAGGCTTCCAAGACTTTCCATGAGTAATAATCTCTTGACTTAATGTTTCAAGAAGAATCGATTCATCAACTTGATGATAACTTCCCATTATAGTACATGCCTGTTTGGAAACAAGAGCCCAACTTGTTGAGCATATTCTAAAATGAATCATCATTTATAATGATGATTACGTTAATTCCCAAGATTTACATTGGAAATCTGTCGATGCATCGGCATACCTTACTTCTGACCTTTACAGATCTGTCATTTACCATATCGCAGATTTTGGTAAAGGCATCATCTAGTAATCGAATATTTTGGATTGTGCCATCATCCAACACATAATTTCTCATTTCTTGAGGATAAATGGTACTTAAAACCCTAGAATTTCATTGAATAACCTTAATTGATATGGTCACAATAAAGGAATAGTTCAAATTCAGGACTTGCCATATTAAACTCAACGCTTCAAAGCGAACTTCTTCTGAGTCATCGGTTAAGCAAGTGACACACAAATTGTATAATGACAAATCTAGTTTACAACCACGCTGATGTAGATGAAGAAATGCCCTGATCGCAGCCTGTTTATCAATTATAATTGACGATCAAGATGAACATCCTTTCAAATATAAACAATAACAGAATTATGAACATACAGTTCGAACTCTTGGATCGGGGTCCTCTCCAAAACGATGAATCATCTTTTGAATTTGTATTTCATTCAGAAAATCTAGTGCATTTAAATTGCTTTGGCCACCCTTCGTTTCCATCATATTAATATTGGGTAGTAACGTTGATAGCAAACCGATACACACTGATCGGATGCTATAATGTAAATCAGTTAGATCGTTACTTGCTTGCACGCAAAGTAATTGCAACATATTTATTGAGGAAGGATGGAAATGTATATTTTCAATCTGTAAATCAATAATAAAAACATGAGAATTCACAATAAAGTTAAAAAAAAAAAAGTATGCCGATATTTATATTGTATACCTTTAAAATGTCATGAATTGATTCATATATCCGACATTTGATTTCAGTCGAATTAGATCGCTCTTTACAACACTAATCGGTAATAATAATTAATATGATAAATTAATAATATGGGCGCGTAAATAAAACTGGTATTAAAATAATCATTACCTGATTAATTAGATTATCAAGTATTTTTCCACGATCTATGGACTGGTCAAGTATTAATTTTTCCAATAGTATGATAGCAAGGTTCTAAAGTATATAAATCGTTAATTTTGAGTGAATAACCTACAAATGTAATAAAATAAATGAACCTTGACATCCTTCTCTTCTTCCTTATAAAGAAGCTGCTGAAGCTTAGAAAGTAATTGTGTTTTTGTATCTCCGCTCAGAGTTGGAAATAATAATGCGAATCTGTGTAATGCCTAGTATAAAATTTCTATTGAATAAGAAAAACTACATATGAAAGCACAATATATATGAGGTTTAGACTTACATAAATTCTTTTTTTAACTTCCGAAGACAACAATTCATCCAATTTGACCAATAATTCGTCCTATTAAATAACAACTATGTAACCAGCATTTTAGAAGAGTTTTCATTGTATAAAAATTTCTTACATTTATCGAATCTGTTGAAGTGAGTTCGTCATCAAAACTGTACACTATTGATTGCACTGAAACATTTTTAAAGAGAACATTTAATGAAATGAATTAGCGGATAAGTCAAGGGATTATAATCGTAGCCTACTGTCTTCAGGAAGCGCGCCTTGATTTCCAGCTAACAATGGATCCATGAAATTTGCGTTAGATTTATCGTGTAATACGTAAGTAATAACTTTTATCATTTATCATGTGACTTAAGATTTAAATCCCTGATCCAGATCAAAGAACTTAAATAATGGACTGTGCTCAAAAGCTAGCTTGACTGGCATATGAACATTATATTACTTTTGGTTTAGCCAATCAAATTATTTTGACAAGTTTAAATATTTCACTAACGTTAATAATGGCATGACTTTAAAAATTTAGACATGCTGTGCATGTTATGCCACAATAGCATATCTTTAATAGTGGCATGTATAGAAATATAAAAAAATTTGTCAGACTTATATATAAAAAATAAAAAATCCTCTAACAGACTAAAAATCTATCAACTTGTCAAAGGGGTTTTTTTTGATTAGCTTGTTTTAAAAAAGTTATAACAAATTAAAGTTTTTACTAATAAAAAGTAAATAATGCGCAGTACTGTATATACCGTATTACCGTTATTTTGAAAATCGCATCCCCTAAAAATTGCATAATGGGTTTCGAAATAACGCCCATGCGCGTCCCGAAATAGCGCGCACCATATATAGTATACATATAATCGAATGTATAACACGTGAAAATAATACAGT